ACTCCCTTTCTTCTACACTAGCATAGGCCTTACTTACTTAAGGATCAACTTTTGACGATTTTAAAACGGGTTTAATTTGTTTAGAAAAGTTTTATTTCCCAACCCAAGAAAACCTAAGAAAAACCTAAGAAAACCTAAGAACAAAATTATGGATATTTCATTCTGGAAAGTTGAATTGAGGAAGGAAGACTACAAGGATACTTTCCTAAGGAAAGTTTAAGAGCTGTTCTTACAAAGTGTTTGAGTAGGTCAGTGAAGGATACGCGGCGCCAAATTTTGCTCAAGGACTGGCTTTTCGATGTGTCTTAGAAGCAGGCCGAAATTCTATTATGATTTTATTTTTATATTAAGTGTTGGTGGAAACGATGTAAGAAATCGCTGAAGAAGGCTGGATATTGCAAAGGGAATAATTATCATCGAAAATAGTTTGCTTCTTTTAATTCGCAACAAGGCATTCATTTCATTGCACGAGTTAGAACCTAAACAGTGCTTCTTTATGCTTCAGTGTCAACAGCCAGTCCCTTAGTGGCTTCAACCACGAGTGTTGCACCTGGCAGTCACGTGTCAACTACATATGCTCCTACGACTTATCACCCACTCGACACGAACTACAACCCAATCATAATTAGCTTAGGAGTGGGATTTGCTTGCTTTGTTGTTTTTGTGTGCTGCATGTGTGCCATTCACTCCTGGTGGCTTAAAAGAAACAAATTCACTGGGCTAAACAGCACGCCGATGAAAGACCTGGAAAGGAAGAAAAGAAAGCAGGAGCTGAAAGAGATGAAACGGCGTGCTAAAGGTATCACACACATCTTCCTAAAGGGTAACTGCCGCGGGGGTTATAGAGATGCGTGTGCTCTGACTGGTCGAGGATTGCGTCATATCTCCCTATAATCACCTTACGCGACCTTAAATTACATTAAATCTCTCGTCCACAGAAGCAGAAGCAAAGGAGCCTTCCAAATTTGATATGGGATACAAAAAGCCCCCCAAAGTCAAAGAACGCGCCTTGGCCAACTATGACTGGGCCCGAACCTCATACCTGCCAGGAATGCTTGAACCCAGTCAGGAGCCAGTCGGGCCAGCAGATTTTACTCCAAAACTGATTTGTGATGATGACGACACAGAGGTAGATGACCAAGATGCATCTGGTGACCACAACCAAGGGTACGAGTCAGGAGGGGAGGAGCAATATGGGTCTCGTTACGTAACAACCCCTTCCTCTCTGTTTGCACCAATAGAAATGGAGCCACAAGAACCAATCATAGTTGAGCCTGAGATCATTGAGAATATGGAGCAGCTTCCTCGCTCTGTGCCTGAAGGGAACAAGACTGAGTCCAATCCTCATGTTCATTCTACCTCTCAGGATTATTTTAAGATGATGGGAAGGTTTTAAAAACAGGTCCTGAACATTTTTAGGAAAGTTTCTCACAAAAAGATCTTAATAACCAAAGAGAACAATACATCGTAGGATTTGAATGATAAGGATAGAAAAGCCCTTATTTTTATATAAAAAAATTGGTTACAATGAGTATTGTTATTAGACAGAGCGGTATTTCTTGCACACAATTTGCATAGCAAGTTTGTTGCTCGATTCTTCCAAATACGACTCAATAGAAAGTATACGAAAATATGTCCATGCTTGTTCCAATTTTAAGACTCAGGGATATGAAATTTTACATTTTCTGCAGGTGAAAAACAGTTGACTGAATCGAAGTGCAAGTTTTTTTAAACAACACACTCTGTTATACCATTATTGAAATATCAAGTCCGCTGATTTTTTTTTGTTCCCTTTTTTACCTGTTGATACATGTAATGAGAATGTTGAAGTTATCAGGATCAGTTGCTTCTGATGCACTTTCCTTCTCTTAAGTTCAACCCTTTTTTAATCTCACTAGATAACTGATGTTGGTATGTTTATATAGATTCCAATTTTTCTTTCATTTCGCTCAGAACAAATTAACCATGATTACATGAAGCAAGTGGCAGGATGAACAAAGGTTAGACTGCTTTAAATCAACGGCGTGTTTCGAAATAAATGTAATTTTAGTTTGATGATGAAGTAGGAAGTATTCATAGGAAAGTTTTCTGTAAACATTCGTTGTCACAACACTTAGACGGTCGTTTTTCATGTATATTAATGTATATTATCCGTTTTTACACGAGTGCTTTTTAAGGGCCATTTATAATAAATTTAAAGAAAAATAGAAGTAAATAAAGCTAGATTTGACGTTTAAATGTTTCGACGTCGTCATTTGGCATGTTTTAGAATAATTTAGAAGGGATTCTGCTAAAGGCTTTGATAGTATTCATCGATTCAACCAATACAATAGTCTTACTCTGTTGGGTCATTCGAGATTTGAAGAGGACGAGAATCGTACCTTTTACTGAATTTTGATAACGCGATAACGAAAAAGCGGGGTGAAAAAAGTGTTTCAAGTGATAGAAAGAGAGACAATGTAACCTTTGAAAGTTGAAAAGTGAAATATGACTTCACATTTGTATATCAGAGATGCTTCCAAAAAAGTATTTTAAAGGGCGCACTCAGCTACAACGGAAAGTGCAGTCAGGTTGAATAACTTCCAGCACGAATATTTTTCATTTCTTGCTCCATTATTTAATAAGAATGAAACTCGCTTCATTTTGAGTTTTATCAAATCTTATTCTCGATTGAATACAAACAAAAGCTTCACCGTGACAGAAGCCTGAAAAGCTACGGAATTATTTGCCTCTAAGCTCTAAGTTTATCCTTAACGCATGGGAAATATGAAATCTACCCTAGGAGCGTGTCTCAGTTATGAGCCGTAAAAGCTGGAAAATATATAATGTGCTGGGGGTTACAGGCTAAGATTATCATGAGATATACCTCTAGTACAGCCAAAAAGGCTCTAAAAGAACTCATTAAACTTAGCTCTCGGTTACTGACGCTACATGTATGCATTTAAAATCCCAGATTCGAGTAACGTATGGCCATAGAACAAATGTCGACTAAAATGGATTAAGTGTTATCCCATAATGTTTTTACCATAAGTTTGTGCAGTAAAATTTGACATCCACATCAAACGAAAGTGAAATAAATGGTAGTGGAATAACAGTCTTCTGGTTTATCTCGTACGATCTTCACGCAAGCTTAGCTTCATTAGTCTTATTGATCTTTGAATTTCATCGTTTGTGTTGATCAGTTTTCCTGATTTTCCTTGTGTTCTGGCTTTAATTCTATCACAAGTAAGAAGGTTTATCTACAGAAAGGAAACTGTTTGCCTTAATACTCCAGTAGACTTAGACTGTAAATTATTGAAAACAAAACAGACCAGCGAATAAATGCGGTAAACAATCATTCAAATTGGAATCGACTAATTTTAGAAGATTATACAGTATTGCCTGGAATTAATTTCATATCATCTTAACGTGCTCCTATCTACGAATCATTTACTGACTTGATGATATATTCATAGGGGATCTTGGGTTAAGATTAGTGAAAGAAAATTAGATTACAACGGAATTCCTGAACATAGCTGTACGAGAAAATCCTGGTTCAGTCACAAAATCTGGTAAAGAGCCCCATGCAGAATGTTAATGAATGAAACTGATCAGATGTGACACTATGTTGGACAACTAACAGGCAAAACGCTCATACTGAAAGCTAAAGATGAGATAACAGCTACAGATGCACACTACGGTATCTACGTCTCTTGTGGCTTTTGTTGAAGTCTTCAGCGACGGTCAGGGTAATATGGCGTCCCTGGCAAATCGACTAAAAAGACAAACATACAGATTCAACATCTACTCTAATGTGATACAATATGTAGTTTAATTTTGAATCTAACACGCACTGTTGAATTTGTTTTCCTTCTTCCTTTCCAGTTATCTAAGAGAGGAACACCCTAACTTCGCTGAAGCCAGATTTCTCTCTCAACAGAAGCAAAAACATTGCCTTTCAGATAAGAAATAGCCACGTTCCTTACCGTCCTCTCTAAATTCCATCATGGGAAACTGATTACTCTGATCGTATCCTGACAGAAAGAAGGAATGAAATATGAGCCGGTACAATAAAGAGAGATGCTTGAGCGGTTATCATCGTTGTTTCAAGAGAATCATCTTGTGATCAACAACCCAAAGACGCAAGCAGTACCTATTGGTCCCTGTAAGTACAATTACGATCTGGCCATACATAGCTCTGTCATTGAAACACTGCCCTCAATCAAAATACTTGGCGTTGAACCTGATAGCATGCTACCTTTCAAGGATCACATTACTAAACAGTTTCAAAAGGTATACGATAAAAGTGGCACACTCAGGAGAATAAGGCGTTTTGTCCCCGGCAATGTTATGTCAAGGCTCAACAAAACTTTCATTCTCCCTCATTTTGAATAATGTTGCCCCCTCTGTCTTGGAGTGGGGAAAGTGCAAGCCAATCGCCTAGAAGATGCCAACTATTATATTCTTAGATCATTGCTAGGTTATTCCAAATCTACCCTTTATGATGAATTGTTACGAATGTTGAGTATGGAATCGTTAGACCAGAGAAGGAAACAACAATACCTTATTCTGTTATATACATGTTTGCATAACGACGTGGGTAAATAAAGTATTGATTGATTGATTGATTGATATTGATTGATTCTTTTCATAGCGAAGTTTTGAAACATTTCGGCTTACTTCTACAGTATTTCAAAGTGATATGATTTGAAAGCTTACCTTCTGAATTTTCTTGTTTCATCTCTCTATTATCATGGCCTATGAATAAGATAAAGAAGACCACTTAATATCTTCCAACCTTTGTAGATCTCAATTCGTCTGAAGTTATGTTTTTGTAACAGGGCACGACATTCAAAGTTTTATAGGAAATGCTTGCAACAGTGTTTTTTTTTCTTAGGGTCATTTTTTATTCAGAACTCAGCAAAAACTAAAACAATAACTACAAATTTCATTACCTTTTGAGTTTCTAGGTGAGATCGTCAATTTTAACTGAGAATTAGAAATATCTTTTACTTCTTTGCCTTTTCTCTTTCTCATTCTGATCACAATCACACCAGCAATAGTTAAGACTAGGCCGACCACAGAGCCCACGATGATGCCGACCAGCGTGCTAGTGCTGAGGCCCTTTGAAGTCTCGATTGGTTCATCATGTGGTGTCGTAGGTTTGATGGGTTGAGGTGTGGATACGGTTGAGGGCCACCCCGTCAAAGACGTCAGGAAAGACGCAGAATCTGCCACTAGCTTCTGGCCATGAGCAAGGATGAGAGAGAAGTTCCCACTCATCACCTGATCTTTCAGTGCTGTCATAGCCATGGAGACGCTATTCTCCCCAGGACCTCCTGGTAACAAAGTGAAAGAGACGAGAATGCTTCCTGGCCTAACAACGACATCTGCAATACGAGATTTGTTGACTGACATGACATCAGCGATGTATTGTGTAAAGCTCACTATCAATTCTGTTTTTTTCTCTTCACTAGGAATGATGTCTTCTTAATTGGCATCAAACTTGAACTGTATATAAACCAGTTGTTCGGTGTTGACATGTTGAGAGGACACTGTGAGGGGTTGAGATGTGGAAGTCTGCGCTGATTGTATTGAAGAGTTCACAGCAAAAACAGCGATGAATCCAAGCTTGTGATAGTGACACTCAACTGATACTTCTCCGTTTCCATTTTGGGATGTTGCCTCAGTAGTGATGTCCTCTGCAGTCCACAATGAAGTCAAGGGGTTCCAAACATGGCACTACGGTCGAGATAAGTGTTCATACGAATTTAAAATGGTCTCAAGAATGAAATAAGCGTTCATAAGAATTTGAAATGGTCTCAAAGTCGAGATAAGTGTTGATAAGAATTATACAAGCAAAACACACAGGCTTATGCCATTCTAATGTATTGTTGCAAAATTGTTAACTAACCGTAGGGACTGAGTCATTAAACTCGCTGTATCCGCGTAGTGGAATCCTGAATGTGACAGCTTCATTGAGATCGCTGGCTGGCAAGTGGGCAGCACTCTCTGGGTTGAAGAGTTTGGCGTAAATAACGTCACTGATATAGCTTCTGTTGTTAGATGTAGATAGAAGGTCGTACGGGTACTGCAAGGATTCAAGTTCAATTCCATTCGTCAAGATTTTAGGCTGTTACTTTAAAACAGGTGCATAGGTAAGTTATGTTACAGTCTTCCCATTCAAACACATATCACCATTTGTAATTATTTCAAACAATTCTGATTAATATCACAATTGAATTTAACCGCTTTAATCTATTTAAGAGGGTTCCTTTGAGTTAATGTAACTAATTATGATTTCAAAATCTTAAAACTGGCATATTTTGAATAAGGAAAAAATAAATAACGTCCACTTGCTTCCACTGAAATGAGACTTCAGTCTAACAAAAACAAAGAGCTGCACCGGCGGAATGGTTCATTAAAATTTGTATACGAAATAACTGTTCATCTTTCGTAAAAAGCGTACCAAGCAGCAATTTTCATCCCAGCTGCAGTGTTGACTTGCGATATTTCACTTAACTGCCCATGCGAGTACTGTACGACGGTTGATTGACAAATGGTCCAGTAGGACCTAAGGCTCCTTTTATAGCGCGCCTTCGTGTTTAACTGCCCATGCGAGTACTGTACTCTCCAGTTCGATTCAATTCTTACTTTCTCGGGAATGAACTCGACTTCATGTATGAAAGACTAAATTTCCCTGCTTACCTCTGGATGAAACTAATCATCTATTAATTGTCATAACCTTTTGACATCTAATTTGTACATCCTCGAACCATTTTGTAACACATCATTATTTTATATCTTCGTTATGAATAAATTATGTTACAAACCCACCTGAGCGGACACGATGCATGCGCCATTACAACCATCTTCATCACAATCCCAGCTTTGGTAGAGGTCCTTCAAAGCTTGTCCGAGCAGGACCTGTGCACTGATCTGAACAGAACTACAATTTTCACATGCGATGTGAGTGAAATTTACATCTACATCATCAAAACTGTCTTGTTCACTTCTGATAACCACGATGTTTGACTCAGCAATGACAGCGTCCTCTCCAGTGCTGATTCCTTGGCACATGGAACGCCCGAGTTCCTCAACGAGAGACACAAGGTCCCTTTTCACTGACATGGAGGCCTCGGTAAAGTTGTTGGGGTCGATTAGTGTATTGTAAATACTCAGAATAGTTTCAACCTGTGTGAGAGGAGGGTATCTTATTTTAGACATCAGCTTAACCCGGCAAGGAGAAATTTCAACATGGTTTACAATTTTCCAGTGACATAAAATAAATTGTTGGCAATAAATAGAACCGAATACCAGCATATCTTCTCCGTGAAAATGTGAATGCATGTCCGGCTTACTTCTAAAACCCAGACCTCTGCGGTAGGCCTTGTAAAACTTATGGTGTTTTGAATCACTGAATAAAATGTGAGGATCAACTTATGAACTCAATAATGCTCCACAGCACTTAAAACAAACGCCACATGATGCTATGGGGAATCAAATTCTTAAATTTTTAAACCTGATTATTTATTTGCGAATGTTTTCAAACGATAAATTAGACACCGCCCTACTACCCTGACAAACCTCATCTGCTGTCTTCATCATAACTTCCTCTTCCTCTCCTTCGCTGTTGCCATCATCGGCCGCCCTTCGTTTTCTACGAGGATTAAGATCGCTTTCACCGGGCTGAGGAGTATTCATTTCACGAACATTTCCAGATATTTGTTTAACATTTATCTCTGCGTTGCCCTTCTTGGCTGCATCTACAGTAACCTGCACTGCCCTCATTATTCCAGCATCGCCATCAGGGTCACGACTTTTCCCTTTCCGTTCTGCCATGAGTTCGTTGAGCTAAAATTTAAAGAAACAGTTTTTCTTTTTCTACCACTGATGTAAGGAAATAGCTAAAACAATGAGGAACCAAATTCAGAAATAAAATACTTAATTGTCGTAGGTTTATCTGTATTCTGAATTTTCCTACCCCATTTGCAGCTTCCTTCAGACCTTCCTTAAGAGCGTCAGAGCTGCCGTTGTCATTGTCGTCCGTGCATTGTGCTATCAACTGAAGCTCGGCTGGAAATGGATCAGTTCAATTGGTGAAAAGACAAGTTATGATAAACAAAGCTATGAAGAATGTGAAAACTCTGAAGGAAGAAGCCAAATTTTAATCACATTCGACCTAGAAGAACATTCAGCGAGTAGCTTTTGGACGCTAACTGTTTTGTTTTCTTTCTTCTTGTTAAAAGACAACTTACTTAATGTCCTTAATTGAGATTATACCAACCGGAAGCTTCAGGGATTTGGCCGAGGCTGACTCGTTCCTTGAGGTCTTCAACTTCACTCGCTATTTCCTCCGCTTTGCAAATGGATTCTCGCGGAGGAACAGTCACTGAACATTCACTGAGTGTTTTGGCTCCCTGCAAATCTTTTGCTTCTACGAAACACTTTACCTCGTAATTGTTGGCCTCTTCACCTGTAAAAGGACCAAAGGGTTATAAGAGACCATACAGCATTCTGTGTACCTTGGCACTTTTAGCGCTAAACTGAATAGCAGACTCGGTGAACCATCTTCAAGCCTAAGAAAATGGTTTTCCATGTCCTATGTGAATATTACCGTTCATTCAGAACATTGTCTACTGAAGATACAGACTGGAACGTGCCTAAATTCCATTTTAAACAACGTAAGAAGTAAAAAAAAATTACATAATCCAGTAAGTCAAGGTCGTTAAATCTAATAACTTTCTCTACACAAATAGAATTGCAACTGGCCAGACCGCAAGCAAGACTGTTTACAACTGAAGTAACTTTCAAAGCTCGTCCTTTAAATCCAAATCAAATAACGATTTACACTGATAGTTACTGGTGTTTTGATTGGCTCAGAACCTTTGAAAACCAAAAAATAATCCATTCTTAGAACGATCAAGAGACCACTGATAACTTAGATCCATTAATAGAGGGAAGATTTTTGCCAAGGTCGGTTCAATGTGAGTTCTACACAGATCAAGCTAAATGATATAAGAAGTCAAGTAAAAAAGAAGCTTCATGTATACTATCCAGACACGCCCTTAATTTACCACATTTACCAAGGCATAAAGTTCATACCTTCAGGCAAAAGGACGTCTTCACAAGTGTTATCCATAGACCAGGAAGAAATGGCGTGGTATTTCGTTTTCTCTCCTTCCTCGATATATCCGCAACGGTATGACAAATCGTCACCTTCAGGGTCTTCAAAACCTTGACCTGTTAACGATATTTTTCCGTTCTCGGACTTCTCAACTAAAGCTGAAAAAGAAAAAAGAAAAAACCGGTGAAACGAAAGTAAGAATACTTCATTGAAAAGTAGATTTTTGATCTTTCAGCATTACAATTCCATTTGATCAAGCTACCATTTATTTTACTAACTTGTTCCTTCCAAAGGTGGTTCATTAACATCATACTCCTCCTCAACAAAAGCTTCCACTTCCTCGTGCGATACGTGACATTTGCACCTTAACTTTATTCCATCTGGTAGGTTTTTCAGGACAAGAGACACTCTCTGCTTGATAACGAGTCTATTTGGTCTTTTCTTGATGATTAGGACTGGTCGTGTGCGAACAAAATCTTCAAGATCAACGTCGATCATATTTCCTGATGGGAATACAATATTTTAGTCGCTTTATGCTAAGCCTCAGATAGACAAAGCATTTATTTCTAGAACGCGAAAAAAAATACATTTAGACTGCAAATGGTCCTTCTTTATCAGCGTAAGCCGCTGCACGAACCAAATCGGTGCAAAAAAATACCTCACTGTTACGAGAACTTTTAAGAAAAGAGGCGTCAGGTATCGACTTCTATCGAAACTTTCGTTTCCCAAAAAGAATTTATTCCCTGATCTTTGTGAAATGCAGTAAAACCACAGTTAGACTACGAGCAGTCCGTCTTTCTCCTCATTGTCTGGCTGTACTGTACGTGTTCATATCTAAGAGTACACCAATTTGAAGCAAATTTGAATAACCTCACTTGATTTGCTTTAGCTAATATTTCTCATCATTCCTCGCTAAATTTGACAGGTTCACAGGTGTCATTCTCAAGTGTTACTTGTGAGTAAGAGAAGTTATTAGTTAGTTGACTACCCTTTTTTTTCCCTTCTTTTTAATGTATATATTTACCTTAGTTACTCTTAGCAAGACAATTGTATCTTATTTTAGAAATTAACTTCTAGGACTGTTATATACTTTCTTTAATAACTTAAATGTTTTTTTATTTTTAGAATTACGATCATTGTAAAGCGCAGTTGAGCTCACGAAATGGCGCTATGTAAATTCTTGTATTATTATTATTATTATTATTATTATTATCATTATTATTATTATCAAGTTATTTACCTTCATCGTCTCTTTCTTTACATGACCACTTCACTGCTACTTCAGGTAGCTTGGTCCTCAATACAACTCGGAATATCACTTTGTTACTGGTAAGAATTCGAACGATTCGCAGCATCTTCACCTCAGGAATTTCTCTTCCTTTCAGTTCATAATAAACGGATGCAGAGGCGTTCATATAATCCTTGTAGTAATTCAGTGTCACGGCACAACTGTTGGTGCAATGTAAAATTCCACACTTTGATGAATATATAAATTTTTCCGCCTTCCCTCGTACGAATTTTAACCTGATATAAGAACACGAAATGAGTGGGAAACGAAACAAAAAGCAAACTCGTTCTTACGTTTTATCACCCGGGAATGTGTTTGGTGGAATACGGACAACTGCTATTCGTGGTAAAATGAGTCGTTGAATCTTTCCACTCGTCTTGTTTTCATAAAATGTCGGATACCATTGGTCCCCTTCTTTGCATTTTGCCATCCACACATATAAGGGATTCCCTTGTAAGTTGTTAGGATCTTTGGAGTCGCTTCCATCACAAACTGCCTCTTGGTGAACACTTAAAGAGACATTTTCGCCACCTGTAGAGGATAATGGTCAGGTGAAACGCAGTCAAGGTAAAATTTCAAGGCCTCCGTTAAGTAAAACAGGAACTACACTATTTCATGTCACAGTTCTTTCATTTACCATGATGCTTAATTTTCACAACCTCATTTACTCAAGTTAAGAGTATGAAAACTGTACTAAGTTAGTTTATAAGTGAGAATGAATCTCTTTCCTTTAAAACACCTTTGAGAAAAGTTTCCCAACAGCATTTACTGTATAATGCATCCACGGGCCGCTGAACAAAAACTTTTGAAGAGAGGTTTAATTTACCCTGCTACAGTTATCAGCACCCTGAGCTAGTTTGGCCTGTTTTGGCCTTACCTTTAATCTTGGCGACAATAGGTACTCTCTTTGTCATTATGGTTATTTTGTCTTCTGAAAACAATTTGTCATCGCCTTTTACATACACCGTCAACGTGAATTCATATTTCTGTAAAATCAATTAAACGGCAAAAATATTTACATACATACATACATACATACATACATACATACATACATACATGCATACATACGTTAGTTGACCACTCCCCATGAGGGGCTTTCAGGGCCAATTCCTACCCATCCCACCCCAGGGGAAGACATCCACTACACAGTAATCTCGTGGGTGGAAAATTAACGTCTCCTACTCCTAACCCTGCTGGAGACGGGGCCTGCGGTTCATTCGTCCTTATCCGAGAAGACTAGAATATCTATCTATTTATTATAGAAAGGTAGCATATTCTCCTCACTTATTTTAAGACCATGAGTATCTGTGCGGCCGTGGCTCGAACCGATATTTGAGCTTTAAGTGAGGCGTAAATGTCCTCCGTAAAATCGATAAGTGCAAATATAATACCTCCAGCCACCACCCAACGCCGACTGTGTATACATTTGGAAAATTGCCTTTGAAACGCACAGTGATGGTTATAACAGCGGTGCAAGAAATGCACTGAGCCAAGCATAGCAAACAGGTCACATAATATTTGGTATGGAAAAGAAGCCAAAATAAAAAGGTCTAGACATCTAACTAACGGTAGTTTCACTTCAAACAAGATTGGTTTTGACTCCATGGCCAGCCAGTTCCCCAGAAATGAACCCCAGTCTACCCTCAGGGACTAGACTCAGTATAGCGGTAGAAATCAAGCAACTCAGTGACGTTGAATGACTTAAAAGCACTATTTTTTCAAAAGCTTTATCAACTTTTTTAAAATATACCCACCCGTGAACATCCAACTCTGAATGTACTTCACGCGAGGATTAGATTTCTAACTTTCCTTACATTGGATGTTCTCAGTTCACAGCACGAAAATCATTGGCATTTATCTTCGCCAAGCAATTCCAATTCGATATATAGCAAGAGCGAGATGTCAATTCGATACAAAACCAAATCTCTCGGGCAAAATTTTAGGAAGATATAGAGCAGCTGAGACGAAAAAGTACTAATTACAGTAGATGACTTGGGCAACTCACTCTTCCTGAAGTCCACTGATCATCTTTTATTTTAAGTTCTGGGCTGCTATCATCAAACTCTATATCTGGGTCGTCACATGACCAAATGAATGACAAATATCGCATGTCTGATGCGGCGCACGAAGAAGCACGAACATTGGCTGCCAGTAAAAACAGAATAGTACCAGTTCAATGACAATCGATAAATATTGAATTTACTAGCACATGCAACTCTGAAACTTAATCTTACAATAGCCGAACCGAAAAAAAGCCAAAATGAAGCTAACAAACTAAAACTATCATTTAAACTTTTCAAAATTATAATTGCTCTCCTGGAGATTTTAACAAGCATGAAAAATTAGATGCGTCGGCTATGTCTCCAAACTTTGGAAGAGATCGTTCTGCGACCTTCGTTTCTTGAAATGCCATCAAGCCCGGCTTAAATGTTTCTCGGGGCATAACGATATTGTTTTTGGATGAGGCTCTTTTTTTCATCGCAAATATCTAATATATGGCTAAGAATAAAATTACCAAAGTAGATTTTTAAAATCAATCTTAATACTAAGCTACATCAGCAATTAGGATCCGTTTTAGGATATAACCGGGAGTACAACGACACAGGCTAAAACTTATTCCACGTGTCTCCCTGAAAGAAACTTCGTTTTTCTCATCTTTAGAGCGCCGGTTCAACCAGATAAAAACTCAGTGAAAAAGCTGTTCCGTCTTAAACTCATGGGTCCTTACTGTTCATGGATTTTCCAACTCACCGCGCAGCCTCAATGTTCGAGAGGGAGTGATCTCCATTGTGGCCTTACCAAACTTAATTTTGGGAATTTCTTCACCAACTCGCTCAGTGATGAGGGAGTCACAAGCCATTTCCATTTTTTCTGTGAGACGTTCCTGGGCACATACTGTTACATTGTATTTTGCCCCTTCTATAACATCGCTCGCATTGAGTCGTATTCTGGTTTGATTGGATGGTAAGTTTGCGAATCTGCTGTTCAGTTCCTGTACGTCAGCGGCGGTGTGCGTAACAGATACTGCCGGTGAATTGACTGTAACTACTTTCCAACTCATCTTTGCTGGCATGCTTGTCTGTGCGGAAATCACAAATGAATTGCAGCGTCCTACAAAAGACGGAAGTGTTGATGTATTGATGAGGTGTTAGACTTTTCCCTCAGTTTCACACACACGTTGAAAAGCAATCTTAAACGACTGATTTAAGACATTGGTAGACGAAACATGAATTCCTTCAAATGATCACTAATCTCCGCGCTTCACTTCCAGTCTAACTCACAACTTGCGTCCAAGTAATCTTACCTCTGCTTTTAAAAGGCCTGTGGGTCATCAACGACGAGGAGGCATGCGAAATTTAAACATGCTGTTACTTTGTTATCGCTTCACTCATTTACGTGTATACCACCAAATCAAAAGTTTGGATTTCCAGGTTCTTCAAACCGACTTTGTAATTACTATCAGTTTTTTATATATCTGAGTTTGTAACAAATTGCTATCACACCACATTTTGGGTTAAATACCTTTGTACATACCTACTTTCTTCGGGCCAGAAATCTCGACCAACAGGTTCACACCATCTTTTAAATTACACGTGACCTTCTTTTTATCAGAAGGAAAATGTTTGGTATAACTCGACCATTTGCTTTTAAAGCTCTTCAAGTCAAGTTCCACTTCCTCACCAGGGCGAAGTCTAGAATTTTGCGGGAGGCTGATAATAAGTTTTTTATTCTTACAGTGAGCCTTTGACGCTTTAGTTATTTTTTCCAGAGCACTGCCTGCGATGAAGCGCTCGCTACTCTCCCACTTGTCGGTACAGGCAACCAGTCTATCAAAACGTATGGATATGAAGCGAGCAGACGCACTAAACCTGCACTCCAAAGGCCTAGGTACGCGATCGTAGAGATTAAACTTAACTGCAATATTTCTAGATAGTTTTTCGTTTTCTGCTCCGGGGGCGAAAAGGACGCTGATCTTTCCATGCTGCGCCTTAGTGAAACGCTTTAAAACACAGATAATGGTTTCTGAGTTGACATATACAGCTGGAATCTTTTGTAAGCTCTCCTTCCCTTTCTCGCTTTTTTCTTTGGAAATCACACATACTAAAGAGGAAGTCTTGACAAATCCTCTTCCTTTGAGTGTTACATTTCTTTTGGTGTTGATTTCAGTTTCATTCGGACTAACTTCGGTGATGGTAGGTTCTACATAAACCTGAATCCTAAACTTGTCGAACCCCAGTTTCTTTTTACTCTCACCAAAAGAACAGTTGAGTGAATATTCACCAGCTCCCATATTTGGTGTTTTTACTGTAACTTTCTTCTTTGAAAGGGCCTTTACAAACGTCAGGTCGTACTTGCTGGGAAAAACGAAAAAACACAAGAATTATTCTTCTTTTCTCAAATCGAGTAATCGAAGATCGTTAAAAACTGCATCTTACCTACTCTTTGGCAAATGTTACAATCTTCCATGGGAATCCGAGTTGTCCTACCAATCTAACCCTATATGGTGTGGCTTCATACTGAGCTCAGTTCTTAGTAGCGCGGCCCAGCTAATATCTAGGAGGTACGGGTTCGAATTCCGTCGAAGCCTGAATTTTTTTCCAAGCTTCTTTTCTTGCAGTTACTAAAATTGCAGCTTACCGGCGACGATCATAGCTCTACTTGATTTTCATCCACAAGTCAAATGAAATTTCATCCTCGGAGACCCAGGGGCTGAGTCGATTTCAAGTTAGGGCATGAAGAGCCCCTGGGGACATTGTCTTACAAGACTAGTTCCAAACGGTCGCAGTCGTTCTGCCATCTGATTGGTGCCAGAAAAGCTTTGTGTTTTTCTGCCCAATCAGAGTGAACTGTGCTTTAAAGTCCTTTCGTGTGTTTTAACATATACTAGTAGCTCAGTTTCTCGCTTTGTTTGTTTGGACCGTGCGACGGAGATCTACTTGAGGTGAAAAGTTTCAGTCTCAGCGCACAATGTAAGAGAAATCCATCATGTCCGCGAAAATCTTACCGGAAATTTTACTGAATACTTTCGCAGGTATCACTAGAGAAGGCGTTTTAATGTTTGCGAGGTTTGTACACAACGCGATGGTTGCAGTCATTGGTATGTCGCTTTAAACGTTAAACGAGATTCAAGCTTAAATCTTTCTAGATTTTTTGCATAATTTGCTGTGACTGAAACTTTGCCAATCCCGGGAAGTTATTTCGTCGCACGGGCCACGCAGGTATGTCGAGCAACTGGTTCTTGCGCAACTTTCCGTGCGTGCCAAAATCTAATCTCATCTTCGCTTGAAAAAAAAGAAAAGCTGAGCGTGGAAACTTTTGCTTATTAGATGTGGGTAGATGATCCTGTTCTACTAAGCTGACATTTGCAATAAAGTAAACCCGCCCTTTCCATCCAAAATTTCTTGGTCTTTGGTTTTGTTTTTCCCACTGAAAACAGCATCGGATCGATTCAGTAAAGTTTTGAAATAATTTGGATATATCAACAAAGTTGAAATGGCAAATTGGCCACCGTAACGATTACAAAAGCTGACGTTTCGAGCGTTAGCCCTTCGTCGGAGCGAAAGGGCTAACGTCCGACAAAGGGCTAACGCTCGAAACGTCAGCTTTTGTGATCGTTACGGTGGCCAATTTACCACTTCAACTTTGTTGATATATCCAAGTTATTTCGTTAACCCACCGACGCAGCCCCAAACAGTTTCTTTCGAAACTATCAGCCTTTATTCATTGTTATTGCTATAACTGACTTCTCAATTGGTCGCCAACTCTCCTTCCACTATTGCATGAAAAGCTCTTTACAGATCAGTGTTTTACGGTCAAGTTACACGGAAAACAGGAAATGGATAACTTTCATCCTCTCAACTTAAAAAAGAATCTATTCAAAAATTGCAGAGCACATACAGACCTTCCGTCGTCCTTGTAGAGATAGCAGGAGATAGAGATATGCCTGGCCATCCCAGCAACTTTCAAGGTCATCAATGTTTGTTGGTTTGAAGGTATGGCTCTGAAATCACAATCAAGGATTTTCGGACATTTATCAAAGTTTTCCTCGTCTTGAGGGTCTGCACAATTACCACATGAATCCTTCGTCTTGTTTCCATGTGGGACTCCTTCACAGTCAACACAGGTCGAACTGTCTCCGCCGCAAACTCCACACTCGTCTTTTTCCCAATTTAGTGGCTTTTTAGTGTTCCCACCAACACAAACACTGGCATTACAATCGGACTGTCATATAAAATAGGAAAAAAACTGAGTGGTAAGCTTGCAGCTCGCGCAGTATCAAATATAGAATATTTGCTCATAAGTTTTCACCTACCCATTTGGCTTTACCGTAGCAGTCACCATTGCAGTCTTTGAAATCGATTACTTTGTCGTTGGACTGGCAAACGTTACATTCATCCCAATGGGATGGCGACCAGCATATCTCAGAACAGAATGAAGTAGTCTTGTTTCCGCATTTGTCACACTCATCTTCAAAAGAAAAAGTTTAGAATTAAGTCTCCTTAAGTAGCCTCGCCGTCCCCTGCCAGCCTTTTTCTTAGACACTTCGTACAAAAGATAATGAATGGCTTACCTCTTTCCTTATTTGAGTAGGGAATCTTATCGCACCCAAGGCAGCTATTTTTTATGACACCTCTTCTGGGGCACTGGCTACATTTGTCTCTTTTCCTCCTTGACCAGGCCACATGATCACATCCAAGCTGAGCTGCCATGATTTTGACCCTCTCTCGTGATAAAGTTGTATCCGACTCCATGGCGGTGGAATTCATTTCGTAGTATCCTGATGATTTGTTGTCTGAGTTATCGTAGGCTTTAACCATTAAAAATATCGATTGCCTTGATTGATCCTTTGTCCAAGATACGTTTCTTCGTGGCTTTAAGGCAATGCAATCATTGGGTCCTAAGAGCAGCACCATCCCTGAAGTCAAGTTTATCTCCCTCAGAGGGCCATCTTCGATCCTGAATTTCCAAGCGACATACTTCTGTGGTGGTGCATGCAGTACAGCCAATCCAACCTCAGAGTCATCAGGATCTGCCACAAGAGGGAATGGGCGGCGATTTGGGTAAAGCGGCTTCACTTTTATAAAGTCTTTAGGAACCTCTCTTTTTTCGAAGACGTATCTGACATACTCCGAGCTCATCTTTGTTAAGTTTCCAACTCGCCAACATTTGATATCAGCGTTAGTAAAGTTCTCCCGAACTGGCGGGAAAGGAATTAATTTCTCTCGATTTTCCAATAGAAATTTGGGTCGGTCGTTTACGGGTAATACTTTTACTTGAAGCCGAGCCATTCCTGATCCTATGCGGCATTTGCCTTCTGGTGATCCTGCACAGCTTCCCTACGATACAGATAAGATGCAACCATATGATTTGAAGATTGCGGTTACTCTGAACCACTCAACATCAGTCTGAGCGCCTCACAATTACGTTTAACAATTCATGAGGGATCGTGGGAATATGGAAAGAAAGTCCCATTTTACCCAAGTCGACAACAAGGGAGTGATAATAAAACTGCAATAACATTGGTCAGTTGGATTTGAAATCTAAAAGCGGCCCAAATTAAAGTCTCCTCTCGTAAAAGTTTGGCTTCAAAGAAAAGCAGTGAGCTCTTGATTGCACTATCTGAGTCTCCATACTGATCTTATTCCCCGATGGCCGCTATCTTTACTCTTTGGGGTTCCCTAAGTTTTCTAAATCTGAGACATTTCCATTTTCAATTGAAACATCCTCGCGCTAAAGCTATATGAGAAACAACACAAGCCAACGATACCTGTTAGATTCCTAGAGATTACCTTTTCATCTGCAGGTGCGATGAAAGACCTCACAAAATTTATAACTTTTCTCTTCAAGTTAATGATGCTTTCTTTCTGTAGTCGATCTAAGATTTCCTCGATGGCCTCATCAATGCGTCCATTCTCAATCCTACGCACGATATTGTTGTATTCCCTCTGGGGTATCTCCTTGAGCCAAGCAGGTTTTCCCTAGAAGATCCAAACCCACACTCAGTATGCTACCTTGTTACATTTGGAGTTGGTCACTATGGCAATAATCGGGTTAAAATCTTTTAAGAGACCCATTATAACGTTCTCCTTGTACATGAAGCTAAACAAATCTTTTTATAAGGTAAAAGGAGTCAGCTGATGCAAACCATGGTAAAACAAAGTGAACTTACTTCATTTAAGTTGACCGAGGAATGCGCTGGTACTATGCAGGCAGGAGCTAATGTTAGGTTAACATTACCAAACATATTTGGGGACGGCACCATTACACAGGTCCAATACGGCGCAAAAAATACAGACTTGAAACTTGGTCCATTCGGAGCAACTTCAATAAGCCTTCCGGACTGTTTAGTGGAGCATCTCAGTCGCACTGTAGATAAAATGAAAACGATATTGACCACTTTTATGAATGGCTGCCGGATTAATATTCTTTTGTTTAAATTTAAATTAGCCTTTCTGGTCTCGTTCTCCAGTTCAAAATTCAAAATAATACATTATCTCAAGCGAGGCTAGTGAGGCTATTTTGAATTTAAGCAAAATAATATCAATCTGGTAGCCATTTATGAAAGTGGTGTATGACTCGATCTAAATAAACAAAAAGTCTCTGTAGTCTAAACAAATGATCATACACCTCGCGTTTCTATTATTTTGCAACAAAGAAAAATCAATGAATGTTTTTTTTCAATGGAGTTTTGTTATTTTATTTACCTTTCTTTAACGGCTTCGTTTTTGTTACGACCATCCCGGCAATCTTCTGTTGCAGTTGTTTTACTGCTTGGTTGTATAGTGAAACAAATTTTTTGGGAACCCGACAGGCCAGCGATTTATTCAGTTTCAATTCACTGCAGTTTGTAGGTCGACTTGTAACGTTAATGTATTTGGAGAACTGGGAAATAAAAATTAACCTGATTTAGCGACACTCCCTTTATTACCAGCAAAGAAACACAACACCTAGGAAGTTTTTGAAAATCCTTCCATAAGGGCATGATGTGACAAGTAACCATGGGAAAATGACAGGGACGGGTTCTACTCTAATCACAATAAAACCCGAGCAGACCCAATGATCAGTTGACCCGATATCATTAGAAAATTGTGTGTTAAGTGGACTCAAGTTAGAGGCACGCGCTTGTCGTTCCATTTCTCCTTGTGAAGTGAACTTGTATTCAGTGAACACTTCCATTAAGTGTTTGCTAACATCAGATAGATTCCCAATTGTGAACCAATACCTGGATTAGGCGAAGGGGTTACATTGAATTTATAGATAATCAGAAAAATTAACAGATTATAAAATTATGTCAAATTAACGATAATTTTTATATCACCCGATATCGCAAGGCCGCGACTTTAAAGCGTCGGCAATGCACCCAATGCAAATATTGCGTTCAATTTAGTCTGCCATTGTTCTGGACTCACTAGCTTCTCATACGTGTGATAATCATTTTGTGTTTCCACGTGACGACGAGGTTAGTGAGTCCAGAACAATGGCAATATTGCCATATTTGCATTCGGTGTATCTGTTGTATTTCAATTTTATCCTTGGTTCAAATAATATTTTCCTTTGTTTCAAACTCATTATCATACATTAATACATTAACATGACCGAGAACAAAGGAAAATAAAATTTGAACCAAGGATAAAATTGAACTACAACATATACACTAAACAAAAGGCATCTACAGAAGTTCCACCACATTTGCAATTAAATTCTCCTTTCAAGCAATCGCCATTATATGCAAATAGTGATACAATGCATACAAGTAAAACATGTTGATTTAGTAAGATAGTCAGTTCTGCATATGATACAATGGATACAAATAAAACATGTTGATTTAGTAAGATAGTCAGTTCTGCATATGATACAATGTATACAAATAAAACATGTTGATTTAGTAAGATAGTCAGTTCTGCATATGATACAATGTATACAAATAAAACATGTTGATTTAGTAAGATAGTCAGTTCTGCATATAGTTGATCTTGACACTGTACCAAACCGAAACGTTGGCTTCTAGTCCTATTGTGGTCACTGAAAAAAAACTGTTATAATCCGTTTACGACGGACACCTTTATCGCAATGGACACTATAAAGAGTCTCTCATAACTATTTGATAACCTGAAATTATGAATCATATCATCGACTACTCGTACCTGCTCTTTTTGCGAAGAATGATCCTCTCTCAGAATAATATTGGGACGAACCAAATTAATGCCCAGACCAGCGGCGCAGTTTGGCATCAAAACCATCACCACTATGTCTCTCTGTGGTGCCGAGGCCGGAATGCTGACACATGTCCCATGCGCGGAATTCCTGGGTTCAATTTCAATCTCAATTTCAAAGGACAAGAAGCCGTGCGCACAACGTTTAAACCTTTGATAAAACAGATAAGATAATAAGATCAACTAATGAGTCAAAGAATTAACAATCCAATAGGACGAGTGAACTGACGTTTGTTGTTATTTCTATAGCTGTTACTTTTCGTTACTTCAACTGCACCTCAAAGCGCTATCGTTTGACACCACTCGCATTTGATCATCCGCGCATCCAATGTATGGCTTCCATTTCTTGTCAGCTTCTGATTTGAACTCCAGGCCAGCACTGTATTCGTCCCCTACTGCGAACAGCCCGATAAGACCTGGCACTTTACTGGCCGGGAAAATATTTTGGAGGGGTTCTTTAGACCACAGCATCCGCGCCTCTTGGTCTGACGAATTGCAAAAAGGATTTTGAGAGGGTGTTGGTTTCCTGTGCTCCGATGGTCTCTGTCCCATGCCACTACAGTTTCCTCTGGGAGCACATCTAATGAAACGAGAAATTAGAAAGGGATGCGTAAATCCATTTCTGGCCCTGTTAATGCGTTGTTAACACAGAAAATGTCAAAGCATGCTTCCAGTTTATTTTCTTTAAGACGTTATCACTACAACTGGAACCTGATTGTTTCATTAAGCGAGTCTTTCTTTTGCAGGGTGAATCATCACTCATGACTGCTGTCCTCAAAGACGTAATGTTATGCAATAAATAGCCACTAGACATTAGAAACGAAGATAGCCTGAGGCCAATGGCAAAAATGGATGGGTTAAGTTCTCTGGTATTAAACAGCTGACTTAATTTTGAAACAGACCAGAAGTATGGTCAAAATTTGGTCGACATCAAATCCATGCTTTCCTTATCGTACTTCAACCAGTATTCAGCAATTGAATCATCTGAATTTCCTACTATTATTTACAGTTTAGTCGCTACTACACTCATTTTTCACGAGAGTGGGACCGATAACAAATCCGAGTCGCTGTTTCCATAGATCCTCTTACCGCCCTAAACGGCGGCAAAACTGTTCCTCGTCTTTACAATTGATGTCGGCCCGACAGGTTTCGTCTGATCTCGATAGAAACTGTTTGCATTTCTTGAGACCATACTCTAGTCTTGCCGTAAAGGGGCCGAGGACTTTACAAAATCCTGCCCAACCTGAGTAGTAAAGGAAATAATATTGAGCTACAGACATCCACCGACGAATAACAAATACACTTAATTGGTATTTTGTTAAATCCTTATAAACGACGGCCCAGACAACTTCAAAAGTCGAAATGAAAGTTAATGAAATTAAAAAAAGACTGCCTTCAAAATCCTTCTTATACCAGCATCCACTGATCTCTCTTTTAGCAGATGAGTTTTCTTTAATGTGTCAACACGAGTCAGAATGGTGGCAATCCTGAAAAAAATGTGTTGTAACCCGGCACCGAAATTGTGGCATATCACACAATAATAAACGAGATTTTTCTTTCCGGCTTTAGTTTGGAGCTCAGTAATCTTCAGAGAAAAGCTAAAAAGTTAAGTAACTGATCCGTTTGTGGTTATTCTGATCTTTGTACCCTGGATCGGTTTAACTATGCCAGTCCGAATGACCGTTTAGTTCCATACCTGCTGAAAAAGGTTTGATGGTGAGGTATACCTACCCTTACACACAGAATGAAGACAGAAATGCTTCTAAGATTTTTCCGTTATGTTTGTATTGTGTAATGTTCAAGGTAATAGTGATAGGGTACTGTTTGTAATGCAGACGACTGTGAGGAGTTTGATAATGAGGTATCACTGTGCGCAATTAGGTATCGTAAACAAAAAAATGTATACCCACCGCTCCTGTTAGCAAACGCACTGACTGAGAAGTAATCGAACTTAGTCGGCTTGGTGCAGTTGAAATGTTTAGGGAGGCATTCGTGTTGACGTAGACAGGACTCTTGATCATCAGCCTTGCACGCAGCCTTTTCGCCAGGCTGACCATTTATCTGATCTTTGTCTTGTGGATCGACGCATTTCATGGCCAAGACAGAAAAAACCTCATCTTTTGGACAACACTTCAGTTTAGGACCAAAAGGAGAACAGCTTTTGTTTTTTCGTGCTTGCCATTGGAGCCAGGTGCCAAAAGAACACGAACCATTTCTAGCAGGGCTAAAAGTTTTTCAGAAGTTACTTCGAAATCCAAGATTGATTAAAATGATTTTTTTTTTCTCAGTCTCAGTTCTACCATTCAAACTGGTTTTAAATGACCATCTCCTGTTAAAACTCAAACCAGCTTATTAGCAAAAAACAAGACCTCAAATGTTTTCACCATTTTAATAAACAGTTTCTCTGTTTTATAAACAATGACAAGTTAGTTGTTCTACTCTCAAGTTGTGGATTGTGCAGATGATTTTTTTTTTGCTAACCAAGTGTCACGGTCATCTGACAAATATAAAAACAGAGAGCCGTCACCTCGGCATCAATCAGACCTTAAAAGACTAAGATCTGTTTGATAATCGTAGGTTAACGTGATTGGCTCTGAGTTAAAATTTTTTTAAAACGTAGATTGTGCCACTTTTCTTTTGAGTGATGAGCTGTCAAGATAACCGTGTACAAGTTTCCACCTACTCACTGAGCCTGGATGAAGCACATCTTTACTTTCATACCTCATAGTCAGCATACAAAATCCCGCATTATCTTCGCGTGTTTTGTTTTTGTCCCACGGCGCTTTCTCCATTCCCAGTTGGAAAAACTGCCTGTTTGTAGTGCAGTTGGACAGACCACCTTTGGGTACGCAGTCCATCGAAGTAGGACAATAAACCTCTCCTTCAGAACAATAACCTGCAAATGGCGTCTGTGTGGAACGGTTCTTAATAACCTTCTCAAACCTACTTGCATTTTTCCTGAGGAGATTGCACAAATGGCAATTTTCAATGGAGAAAGGACAAGCGACGTCAACGATCTTTTGGCAGAAACTTTTACCAGAGAGGCAACTCATGTGTGATTCGTAACCAGCTTCACGACAGTGAACTTCGCGTGACATGCAATCTTTGAGTTGCTCCAAAATGCAAGTGAACAAGGCCTTTCTAACAAAGCAGAATGAAGCCCATCCTGATAATCATAATATAGTTAACAGAAGGTTAGCGTGCTATCCTGGACTATTTCGTAATTGTTAAATATAACTTGTAAAAGGAAGATAAACAGCCGTAACGAATTTTGACGTAAAAAAAAGACGAAGCTGCTACCACACAAAGAGTCCTCAAATACTCGATCTGCTCCGTGAAGAGCTAAAGCTAACTTCATCACCATATAATCAACATTAAACGATGGAGATTTTATCGCCCACCGACACAGCATAAAGTTTCTTGAGAAAATAATAACATGTATTGTAGACAAGCCATATTAAATCGACTCTCTGTGAAGCTACAATCATAGCAAGAGTCACCAAAATTTAACTTCAGTTCCATACGAAAACAATAACTTCTCTAAACTATGTCAAAGAAAGCAGTGTATCACATATTACCTGATTTGGAGAGTATACGCATTGTCTCGTTCTGAATATTTCCTGCAAAAAAGGAGGAATGAGAAAGTTATTTTTGTTCGAATGTTTTAGCTTTTGGTTTCTTTGACATAATCCATAGGTCGAAGAAGTTACTTATAACTGATCCAAACTTATAATTCTGACAACACAACTCATCTCACCTGGTTCAATTGAGAGCGCTGCTTGGCGCAATGCTTTGCTCGTGTTTGCTTCTTTTGGACATTCGTCTTTCTTCAAGCGGCATCCAGCTCCACAACCGAGACAGAGACGTTCTGAGGAGTTGCAGAGGTTCTTTGACGCCCACTTTGTCAGCGTCCCAGTGTGACACCCGTGCTCTTTTGATCTGCAGTCAAAGGACGAAGGACAAAACTTCTTCCCTGTTGGACAATGTTTTGTTGAAAGGGAAACGTTGCTTTTCTTCACCAACCAACGAACAAGACGACGAGAAGAAAACGGCTTTTTGTCATGAATGCTTCTCTTTAAGGTCTCACAAAAACTGTGTTCATTTTCAGATCTGTTTTTTGACGAAGTTCCTCGGTCATCTTCGGGAACATGGTCATCTGAGCGATTCATTGGAATGCATCCACCATTATCATTGAAAATAAAACTGAAGGGAGAAAACCTGCTTCCTGGAGGACAATCAATAAACTTCCGACTGATATTGCGTAATCGTCTGACGAACTGAAGAGGTTCCTGAGTCATCCTGCAGCATTCCCCATCCAGATCTTTGAACAACATCAAATTTGCCAGAGCGGATCTAATGCAGTGGGAATATCGTCTGTTGCACGCCTCCTGATTCTTGTTATCTTTTTTATCATGTGACATGTTAGAACGACGTCGTTGCCCAATAATCTCATCAATCATAGAAGGGCTGAAAGACTGTCCCAAAATTCTTCTCAATCTTGTATCGTTCAACACATTACTTGTCTCATTTCGCTCAAAGTCATGCTGACCATTTCGAGGCCCTCTGGCAGAGAACGGGTTTGCATCGTCTTGCGAACGACGGCGGTTTTGTACGTTAACTTGGGAGACGTTACGATCACGTTTACCTAGGCTGAGGCTTTCATTCAATTTGGAGGGGAGGCTGTTATTTCGCTTGAGACTGGGAATATGGTGTCCAAAATTCCCTTGAGCACCTGGAAGAGTACATTGTTCAGGTGAAGCAACACAGTTCTTTTCCTGAGGCGGGCCGCAGAGTTGTTCGTTACTTGCGCACGAATCGTTACCACAATTGAACCCCAAGCGATTGACACACTGATGTGTGGGTTCACAGAATACCTGAAGAAATGGCAAATTATCAATGACGAGTCATGTGCCAGGCCAGATTACATTTTGAAATCAATAGAAGGTTATGTATATAGTGTGAATTAGCGGAAGACTACATGGGAGCCTCTCAACTGACCAAGAAAATCGATGAAAAAATTTTATTGTAACAAATTTTCTCTTTAGATCTGCCGTAATCCAAAGTTCTGGTTAGTTCTGTTAACTTTGTATGGAATTCATTGCCCGTTCGCGATAATCTTATTTGTAGATTTTGTTTCAGCGACCCGCTAACAGCTGGTAATCTCAATGCAGATCGACGTACAGTTTCAGTTTGCCCCTTGTATTTGGAAACTTAGCTCTTTAAGGATCAACATCATTGAGGGACATGGGAGTAACTCCGGGTTTGTGAACAAAGTGGAAATCATTCAACATTTAAGACCATTAGTTGAGTTCCAAATAATGAAATGTATAATTTATCCTTAAGAAATAGGTCAAACAATTCAGTTTTATGATGGAAAAAGGTAGAAGCTCCAAACTTAAATGAGCCCAAAAAAATGTTTGCCGGTCAAATCTGAACTTTAATTTCGTGCAAGTTTTGCAAAGTTTCGACTTTCTTGGAAGAAAACGCTAATTGACACTAATGATTTTTTCCAGTTGTTCAACAAAGGCTCCACAGGGAAACAAACCTTGGTAACGAATAAACATTTTGGGGCTGTCCTCAATAATTTATCTGCTGGCAATTCATGTATCTGACACAAGAAAGGTATCTGACACAAGAAAGGTATCTGTCAACAATGAAAGGTTAACACACGAAAATGAAAGATATTTTTCTCCACCATCATGGGCTGCCTCTTACTTTATTGTGGTGTCAGATGCAATAGCGACAAAATCAGAAGATACACTCGGAATACAATAATTAATAAGCCATCACAAACATCTGTCCTGCGGTCTCGCGCGAACTCCGCAATGTATGGGGAAATGCACGTCACTCGCGCAATGCGTTGCGAAAATTTGATTTCTTTACTCGAATATTTGCACGCAATGAATAATATTTCGAGAAAAATGTACAATCTTCATTTCTTTTCAGTTTTTGACAATTTGACACGAAAGTAAATCTATGTGAAATTGTACACACAGCTTTGTATCGGTTGGTCTCCAGTTTCTACGTTTTCACCGCACTGAATTTGTTCCTCTGCAAAATGAGGCTCTAATTTAGGGCCTTGGTGCACAAATTCACTAAGCTGAAAATTGTGAAACATGAAGCATAACCAAACGAGTGACCAAGTGAACAAAATTTGACCTTTTCGGACTTGGGTGACTTACAACCTTGACGAGAAAAAGGTTTTTTGGGAAAGCTCTAGTTAAGTTCCTTAGACGTATTAATTTGGGAAACTAGTATAAGAATTCAAGTAAACGATAAAGTTTTTTGCCAGTGTGGTATCCCACAACGTTTGCGTAATATTTCATGCACCTCCGGCAGGGATCAAGCAATACAAATCCTGAGCTAACACATTGGTCAACGAATACAAAGGGGACGCCGAATAAGGGAAAAGGTGGTGGGCGCTCGCATAGGTACTGAAAAGGGCGTCCAAATACAGTGATGACGTCAAACACACTCTCATGACTCTTACACTCACGGAAAGATATATCAGTAATATCACCATGATAAAACTTCAATATTTATTGCGATTATCTGCGGAAAAAGTAACTATAGTACGCAGTATTTACTGATCAAAACGTCCGGAAAATATTTTCAGAGTGGTGAGAATTTACACACCTAGCTTTCAACACCAATACCCCTTCAATTCTTTACTCCTTGATAAAGAGTTTTATGTCTTCACCTAGTTCTAATATTGATTAATTCTGCTTGACAAAATGTTACGGTAATCTTGGTTCGCAACTTTTTCTGTGTTCATTATACAATAAAAAATGAACCACAAAAAACTGTGCAAAATGATACAGAAATCTAGGAGAAAAACCTCCTCAAAAAACTTGATGTGTAGATATTTGCGAATAAGGCCACGCTGTAACTTGCGTGTAAATACATACGAAAACTTATTTGACAAAGTTGAAGTTTTCAAACCTGATGGCGAGGACACTGGCCAGGGCTGTTTGGACCGCCCTGTCCACTCCCGGGGCCAGAACTATTCACATCAGCATAAAACAACACAACGAATCCAAAGCAAGACCAGAACACTGCAAAAAGAAGAAAATATAACATAAGTATTAGTTAAGTTTAGCGACCGAAACATGCATCGCACAAGTCGTATAAACACAATTGCTAGTCTGTTTGAACAAACCTTTGAGCTGCATGTTATTGATTCATTCACTTCATGCCAGCCTTCGTGTTGGACTAAACTTCTTTTTGTTTTACAAAGTCAACATATAAACTTGAGCCTTCAACGAAACTGCAATCACCAATTTCTATGCAGCTTTCGTCCTTTTCCAGTCGTTTAATAATAAATCAACCTTGTACAAGTCACCTGCCCCTTTTGATCCGGTCCCTTTATGATGGAAATATGATGTGCTATTTAAAGCAGAATACCTTTATTGTTTCCTTCTTTCCTGGAGCAGAAAAAAACATCATTTCTGCATCAATATACACCAGTCACTGAGCACAGAAAACCTAAATAAAGTTATTAAAACCACACTTCCTAATCACCGTTTTTTTTTTAATTGCTCTTTGCGACTCCGAACCGTTTTTATACACAACAGTGTAGGTGTACACACTATGCCGAAGGTTTCCTTTAAGCTTTCTGAGAATTAGCCACTTTTACTGTACGTTCTTAAAGTGCCCCTTGAATAGTTTCTTAAATCACCACTGTTACCGTCCCTGGACAACAGTCACTTTCTACTTCCATTAAAATCACCACTTTTATGCTTTAGATCAGAAAATCATTTTCTCTATTGCAATACAAATAATGAAATTTATAGGCTTATAAATCACACAGAGCAATAGAAAACATAATTATCATACAGAGTCGTTTTTATGACTCTATTTGGAAAGTTTCTTTGAGGGGTTGCTGTGCTCAATTATGAATATTGATCCTAAAATTGGATATAAAAAATAGTAGCGGTATGATGAAATAGACGAACGAGAAAAGAATGTTGCTTGAAAATGTCTTTCCGTTTGAATGATTCGTAAGTACTGATTCCTATTTTCCTCGCACTAAACTAATAAGAAACTAGAAAAACTGTGACATCTAGGAAAATTTGTTACATCTCTCAATAAAAAAGTAGAAAACCAAGTATTTTTCCAGCTTTACTTAGTCCCATAATGTTTGCTGAATTTAAATAAAAAAAAGTAACTTAATCATCACTCGTGCTGATTGTGTTCGGCCACAATAGACAACACATCTAAGACTACGCGTGATCAGAAACAATGAGAGCTCCACAAAAGTTCATCATCCTCATAACCCCCTTACCCTATGCAAATGGTTTTCGAATTGGACGAATAAGAACACTTTTAATAGGTGGTTTGCACGTTACGTCATCGCCGCCAAGTTGGTGAACGTAAACAATAGATATCTCGGATATGATGAATATTTGAAGTTCATATATTTTGAACTGCGGTTTTAGATACGTATGATGCACGATCCTCGCAGTAGAGAGCGCTATTTATGCAATAGCGAAAATCAGACCTGAAAAAAATCAGGCCTGTACGGGATTCGAATCACTGACCTCTGCGATACTAGTGCAGCGCTAACAAGCCAAATGGGAGCAGGCCGTTAAGTTGATTCGTAATAAACCCAAGATGATAACCCTGCTTGACCCCAATCGAGTGGCTAGGTTCCCTACGAAAATCGGAAGAGAGAAATTACTAGGGCGTGGAAACTTGAAGCAATCTTTACACTTTTCAGAGGAACATCCCTGCGCCTTGTGCATACAGAAATGCGTGACTGATCGTTGTTATTTTGCCTGCTAGGTGGTTTGCAATGAATCTCCAGAGACGCAGGTAACAATGGTGAAAGGAACAAATGCTGGTGGACGAACAAAAGAAGCTAATGAGATGTCTATTGTTTACGTCCACCAACGCGGTGGCGATGACGTAACGTGCAAACCACCTATGGGTTGGAGCGGCACAAAGTTTTACTGTAAAACTGACATGTAGGGCCAGTATTCTGTTCACCCGATCTTCCATTTTATGATAGTCTTGATTTAGTCACTTGATTTAGTTACCCACTTTGGTTTTCACGGGAAAAGGAATAAAACTATTCNGATATAATCAGGCTTGAAGACAGTATCTCTATTAAACTTTTGACAATTCAACAACTACAGTTCAGTGATGGCGATATAATCAGGCTTGAAGACAGTATCTCTATTAAACTGTTGACAATTCAACAACTACAGTTCAGTGATGGCGTTTGAATAGGTAAGTAGTTGCTTTCTCACAGGACTGAAGATTCAAATGAATATCACGTCAAAATATGTCACATGACAATAAAGGGTAACGTCCAATGTTTCTCCTACGGCACGTGCGCAGTAAACACAATTTTCCTTTTCTTTAGTTTCATTCCCTCCTGATAGATTCCTTCTACAAGTCAACTGGTACAGCTAAGTCTTACTTTGACGGAACAGAGAATTAACTCTCTAATTCAGGTTAATTCAGTCTCTGTTCCATCATTTGTGTTCTTAGTGCTACGCGGCACAACATTTATATGTCTTACTTTGTTTCTTTCGCTGTAGTACGACTCTCCTGTTGTTGTATTTTTTTTAACGTGGGCATCCACGAATCAGGAATTTCTATTCTACTGTCCCTGTTGATGTTGTTAAGGTGAAGTCTTATCTGAATAGCCTCTTTGATGCTGCCAGTGTACCAGTGAGGATCATGATCAATAAACTTTACCATTTTCCAAAGCGGTTGGTGTCCGGTGTTGTGGGCATGCTCTGAAACGGCGGAGGTCTGGGTACAGGCTAGTCAGATGTCTCGGTCGTGCTCCTTTACTCTGTCTTGCATTGATCTTCCAGTCTCACCGATGTAAACTTTGCCGCATTCACAGGGAATCCTGTAAACTACGCCGTACTATTTGGCCGGATCAACAGTCTTTTGTTCTTACTAGCTCTTATCTAAGTGTGGATTCCGACTTGAAGACAGCGCGTACGCCTTGTTGGTGAAGCGGATGGAGGGATGCTGATTGTTTAGATGCTGTGAGAAGTTATCGACGTCTTCACGATCCAGGATAGTAAAGGTGTCTTCAACGTAGCGTTTCCGGATCCTTGTCTTGTAGGATGATGAGTTTACAGCCTGTTCTTCAAAACTCTTCATGTAGAGGTCAGCAATAACAGCGGAAACCGGCCTCCCCATGGCTGCCCCTTCTTGTTGTTCGTGAATTGATTCATTATACTGGAAGTATGTGGATCTCAAAACGAAATTAAGAGGGTCGACGATTTGAGCAGGTATTAGCGCCGTGCGGTCTGGGAGGCTGGGGTCGTTCTCCAGTTTCTGCAGTGCGGCTTGTACAGCGGCGTCGATAGGGACATTTGTAAACAGGGACTATAAGTTGAAAGACACCATGACCTCGTCGTCCGATGCTCTACCGAGCTCAACACTTGACCATCTTTCTTATTCTTTACAAACCATGACGCTTCGACATTGCCGATTTTAGCAGTATGCAAGACGCGTGTCTATGAACTTCGTAATGGGCCTTGCTCACCATAGAGTCTCTGTAGCTCAACACTAGCTAGAGCATCGGAGCATCGCTTACCAGTCGTTTCGTACCCATGGATCTTTCGTACCCAGACTATTCGTGCCCAGGCTCAGACGTTTCGTACCCACTTTCGATCACTTCGTACCCAACTCTCTGGTCGATTCGTACCCAACAAATTATTACTCAAATGTTTAAAACAAACGTAAACATTTATTTCATTTATTCTAGTAATCGCAAAAAAGCTAATTTCTAATCACGGAAACATTAAAAAGTTATCTTTTAGTTAATACTCTTGAAAAATTGTGACTTAGTTGACCCATCCTAATATATTTTGCCTACCACCACGCAGCGCCTACTACTAAACGTACCTATTCTACTTAGTAAAAAAGCTAATTTCTAAATCATAGTAACGCTGAAAAGTTATCTTACTCTTGAACAACCGTGACCTAGTTGCCCTAACAGTAACTGACCTATCCTAATATATTTTTCCCATTATCACGGAGCGCCTATAAGACCAAACGTACTTATTCTACTTAGTAATAACTTGAATAAAAATCCTAGTAGTAAATACAAATAATGTCTAAGTTCAGTTCAGTGCATCACTGGCCTTTTTATATTGACACATCCTTTGAGCAGCTGCCTCAGTGACCTCTCCTTCTTGTTGAAAGCCTCCCAAAGTTCGATGAGCCGCCTCTGTACTTCGCGATAGGTGGACCTCTGCATTCGCTTAAGGTTAAGGTTGCGGCAATGGTCTTTAGCTTTGCTTAAGGTTGCGGCAATGGTCTCATGCGGAAGGAAGGGTAGTGTCATCAGTCGCCTGATGTAATCATTCGTAGCCCGGTCTCTCATATACGCAGTCTTAAGGGCTAGCTCTTGAACTGTTCTCCAAAGGGGCTGGTTCCAGTGGAAGGCACACCCCAACAACTGCACTTCCGGAAGGACTTTTCGAAATGCTCCCCACACGGCGCTCTCGAAGTCAGCGGTAACCTGCTCCACGCTCGGGGTAGTTGGCAGGATCCTCAGCACCTTATTTAACACCTTCTTGTAGTCACGCTTCCTTTTGCTGGACATCAGTACAAACGGCAGCGGGAACTTGCTTTGCATGGTCGTCTTAGCGGACGAAGGCATTAATCGTGAAGAGCTGAGTAAAGGGCGGACGACACTGTAAATGTTCCGTCGACGTACCACCGCTTGGCGTTACTTAACAGCGTTAGTTGCTCCTCAGTAGCGAAGATCAGATGTCGTTTTCCGCGGGTGTCGATATCTGCTCGAAGAAATCCCTCAGGGATACTAGACTCGTCCATGGTGAAGTCAAAGTCGACAGGATCTTGTGGTCGTTTTGACTGTCGGCAACGATTGGCGGCTCTAGCTAAATGTTCGGGTCTGGCTAAGGTAGCGCGAGCGTGCATCTTAATTGTTTTGCGATTACTAGGATAAATGAAATAAATGTTTATGTTTGTTTTGGACATTTTGTGTCATAATTTATTGGCTACGAACCGACCAGAGGGTTGGGTACGAACTGATCGAAAGTGGGTACGAAATGTCTGATTCTAGGTACGAATTGTCTGGGTACGAAATATCCATGTGTACGAAACGACTGGATACCGGAGCATCGGAGCGCGGAATCCGAGGTTCGATTTCTCATGGAGACTCAGAATTTTTTCTTTGTCCCATGTTTGCGACTAGACGAAAATCATCTTTCTATATTTCTTTAGCGAGCTCAAAACTTACCATCTTTCTTATTCTTTACATACTTTAGAATTAAAAGAAATTGTGCAACTGGCACGAGAAATTTCCCGCATTTAGCCCAATGTTAATAATGTTGTGGTATTTTGTACCGACAAACAACTGTTCAAGACATTATCAGTCAGAGTAATACATGTTTTGAGCTCCTAGCTAGTTATTACTTGCTGCACACGTTTCATCTTTGGTGTCACCATAGTTAGTGCAGGTGACTAGTCAGGAAAATGGGCACAAATCAAAGATAAAAAGATCTTTGGAGCTTCCTAGCGGTGCATGATCTTTCATTTCTCTCTTTATTCAATGTCACTGAATAATTTATGGGAAGTTTCTATTCAGTGATCATTTTTCTCTTTATTCAATGTGACTGAATAATTTATGGGAAGTTTCTATTCAGTGGTCAGTTAGTTTAACATCGTTGCAATGCTAGTGTGAGATATACAAAGTCAGGTCCAAAAAAAGTAACAAATCAAATACTTAAGTTGCTTTGACAAAGGGCTGAATGCTCGATGGCCAATTTACATTACCAACTCAGTTGATAAATCAATATAACCTTATTATGCTCTCCTACCGACGCAGCATCACAGTTTCTTTAGAAATTTATCTGCTTTGTTCAAATACCAATGTAATCTGTCAGTTTTCCTAGTTGGTCCACAAAATGTACACAAAACTTAAGACCTAAAATTGTCAACAGTTTTCTCTATTATAACGGCTGTGCAGTTCCTCAGATGGGTTATGCCTACGATGATATTCCTATTATTCACAGTATTGTATTCTGTTTCTAGATCCAACGTATACATTTCATTCTATTCAAATTTCATGATAAACTTTTGATTCTTTCTATGCATGAATGCATGTACTCAATTCTAATTTTGAAGTTTTTTTTGCCACTCCTCTCAATCGTGACAGCTGCACTCACTTATGATTGGGCTGACATGATTCCCTGAGCTAAATACATACGAGTGTAAAGATTCTTAAGTGTTCAACCATTACAGTTCACGTCAGCCGTGGTTTCATCCTTCCATGAACTTTCTCAAAATCTGCTACAATTGCTTTCCAGGCCTGATCATTACACAGTACATCTAATGCTGTCATGGCCATGACTTTAGCTTGAATAACTGCCCTGTCATGAGCTTCTGTCCTCCCTGATGCTGCAGTAAACTCATGAGTGTGATTTGCAGCAGATGTTTCAATGTCAAAGTATGGATGAATGGAAGGTTTAACATGTGACACATTTCCCATGTCTGTGGAACCAAATGATGCCTTTGCTTGTTCTTCACGTGGTGGAAATGTTAGGCCAAAGTCCTGTGCATTCTCTCCATAAAGCTCTGCAAGGTGTTCATTAGTTGCCATGTTGGAATAGAACATAGAATCCCAGTGAATGTCCACTGTACAACCTGCAGTAACACGAACAAAACAAAAAACTTTCACACAAAAATTCAACTCTGGACAAACAATTTTAGAAATTTGAGACAATAAAAGTAAAATAAGACTAAGTTACAGAAAGAAATCTGTCCATTAAAACATATTCAAAAATTACTCTTTAGTATCTCTGAGTGAGAAATACCACTGCATTATAGCAGACTGGTCTAGAAATAAAGGTTTAAGCCCAGGTAAGGTCATTGTGTTTTGTGGACAAGATATTTCACTTGAACACTGCCTCTCTCTAACCAGGTTTAAAAATGAGGACTGATAAACTGTCACAAAGCATGACGAAACATTTGGTGAGGGAGGGGAACCTGAGGTTGACTGGCAAGGGGAGGGGAATAGCAATAACCCCTCTTTTAACATGGAAAACACTTGAAGATACTATATATAGGCTTCTGTTTTGTGGGCCACTAAGTCTTTGCTTGAACCATGTATCTGAGTTCTTTATTTCAGAGATTTGCACAAACTGAGACAAGTTTAAAGACAATTCAACTCTTTCAAAAAAATAACTATATAAACAAAACCATGCTATCAAGCTAGTTTACTTCTGAAAAAAAAGAACACATCATTTGTCCTAATATGGACTAATCTGAGACAGCAAATTGTAAGGATTATAATTATATAATTAACACACCAGTGGCTTGAGAAGCAGCCTCAAAACATCTATGTGCTTTGCTACGTAAATCCATTAATTCTTCCTCAGTGGGAGCTCTCACATAATATGCTAATGAAGCCTTTTCAGGAATAATGTTTGGCTTACTTCCCCCATCTGTGATGACACCATGCAGACGCCATGTTGGTTTGAGCTGCTGCCGCAACACACTGACAGCATTGTAAGCCATGATGGCAGCATCCAATGCATTAACACCCTCCCAAGGGAAAGCACTTGCATGGGAAGATACTCCATGATATGTGACCTGAACAGCTTGCATTGCCAAGCATGTTGGATAAATACAGCTAAAAGATTTAGGATGAGCCATCAAACAAAAATCCACCTCCTCAAAGCAACCATTTTCAATCATTTTAATTTTGCCTCCGCCACCTTCTTCTGCTGGAGTTCCAAGAACTACAACTTTCCCCAGGTCTTGCTTGACTACATCAAGTGCTGCCTTCACACCTGAAGTTAAATAGAAATATCATTTCTTACACACTGTAATACACTGTACATACATACATACATACATACATACGTTTATTGCAACTCCCAAGCTGGGTTTTTCAGTTACAAAGCCTACATTAAATTATTGTAATATTATAGTAACATTTATTTAGTAACATTATATATATATATATAACAAGTTAAAAGGCCTCGAGCCAACAGTGACGCCGCGCCAGAAGGATCCAAAGGGATTCACAGTCCAAACCTCGATAAACAGTAGGAAAAATATTGTAGTACACGAGGACGGACAACTTCAAGCTAAGAAAGACATATACTCAAATAAAAAGTCTAAGAAAGTTTAATAAAATACGTTTCGGTCCGAGACCTTCATCAGTTGTAATACAATGACTTACAAATTCCTTAAATAGATTTATATAGGGCGTGATGACACATATAAACAAACACAGTAATTACTACGCGAAAAATTATCACAATAAAAAGAAATGGAAAAATTGTCGAATCCACTGAAAATGTTAAGGAACCAGCGTTGACNTTGATCAATGCATTGGAATGAGAAATCGCTTAAATCATGTGGTGTTTTGTTAAAATGTACCGCTACTTCACAGGTCTTTTTCTTAGTGACCATAGCAGACTTGTGGTTGCGAAATCTAACTCTAAAGTCATTTGTTGTGGAACCAATGTATTGTAGGCGACATTTCTTGCACGAAGCCAAATAAATTATGTTCTTAGAATCACAGGAAAGTTTCGATCGTATCTTGTAACTCTTGCCTGTTTGAAAACTTAAAATACCTAGAAGTGATCTACTTAGGACTCATGCCAGATCTAAGAGGAAATTATTCCCATTTGTGACCACATTTAATCCAAATTTACCTGATGTAAGTCGCATCATTAAAAAACATCTGGGTATTTTGGAATCCAATCCCAAGTTAAAAGAGCTTTTTCCTTCAAATTCCATCATAGCATCCTTTCGCAGATCTAAAAACCTTAAAGAATTGTTGGCGCCATCCCGTTATGGCCCTAACATTGAAAGCGAAGGGGTTGCTGAGGTCAAGGGATGTTTTAAATGTAATAGAACAAGATGCGATCTTTGTCGCAACTTCTTGGTTGAATCTAATTCCTTTTTAAGTTTTCAAACAGGCAAGAGTTACAAGATACGATCGAAACTTTCCTGTGATTCTAAGAACATAATTTATTTGGCTTCGTGCAAGAAATGTCGCCTACAATACATTGGTTCCACAACAAATGACTTTAGAGTTAGATTTCGCAACCACAAGTCTGCTATGGTCACTAAGAAAAAGACCTGTGAAGTAGCGGTACATTTTAACAAAACACCACATGATTTAAGCGATTTCTCATTCCAATGCATTGATCAAGTGCAGGCGACAGTAAACAATTCAGGTAACATCGAGAAACTTCTAATTACCAAAGAAGCATATTGGAGCGCACAGTTGTTCTCTCTGGCACCCTTCGGCTTGAATAAGCGCCAGGAATTTCACTCCAAAAAAAGAATAAACTATAATTAATGCGGAGAATTTTTTCAAATTGGGCGGGCATCAAAGGTCCCAGTCTCAGCGTTGATTGGGAATTTTAGTACAATTCTCGCCTTTCAAGTCAACGCTGGTTCCTTAACATTTTCAGTGGATTCGACAATTTTTCCATTTCTTTTTATTGTGATAATTTTTCGCGTAGTAATTACTGTGTTTGTTTATATGTGTCATCACGCCCTATATAAATCTATTTAAGGAATTTGTAAGTCATTGTATTACAACTGATGAAGGTCTCGGACCGAAACGTATTTTATTAAACTTTCTTATATATGTCTTTTTTAGCTCGAAGTTGTCCGTCCTTGTGTACTATATATATATATATATATAAGTAAATCTAAAGCTAATACAATATAAATACAAAAGGCCAGTACACGTTAAAAACACTAGTGAACTAATACAAAAATTACACAAGAATAGAAGATAGAAACAATTCATCTTTGCACAACATTTCCATTAAAGAGCGCATTCAGTAGGCAGAACTTAAAGGCATTTACATTCTTAGCTGCTTTTAAGTCCTTTGGGAGGTTATTCCACAATTTGCATCCACAATAGGTGAATGCATGTTGCCCAGAGGACAGGCAGCATCGTGGGATGTGGAGCAGATTACATGATCTTGTTACCCTACTGCGAATACGAGATCGTGGGACAAACGTGTTAGCCACATATTCAGGAGCTAAATTATTTACACATTTAAATACCATTACAGCATCATTGAAATAAAGTCTCTCCTTAACAGTGAGCCAATTAAGAGATTTTATGCCTTGGGAGATGTGGTCAAGAGTTTTCCTGTCCAAATGGTTGATGATTGATGCTACTGATCTGTGCTAGTTTGAAAATACAGTTAGAAGTAGTTTTAGCAATATGATCGTTATATGTTGAAGACTGGTCGATGTAGACTCCAAGGTCCTTTGCTACAGGGACTGGTGTTATTTCCTTTCCCAAGAGTGAAATTGACGTTAGAGGCAATTTCCGCAGTAGTTGAGGAACACCAACTAGTAAGATTTTAGTTTTAGCTGGGTTTATTAGAATGAATTCTGACAGCACCATCGGCAGATTTCACTCAAGTCTTTGTTCAGATAGCCAAATACACGAGCGATGTCAGTTGAGCGAAAGGATAGGTATAATTTACAGTCATCGACGTAGCACACAGATTTGCAGTGGGTTGGAACGGACAAGAGATCATTTACATAGATGGTAAATAACACAGGCCCCAGGATAGAACCCTGAGGAACTCCGTATTTAAGAGGGAGCGGGTCTGAGATAGCATCCCCAATGTGCACTCTCTGGCTACGACCAGACAGGTAATTATGAAACCACTCCAAGCTCGAACAGGGAACACCTATACTCTGTAACTTCTCAAGGAGAATATCATGTCTGATACTATTGAATGCCTTAGACATATGAACTGTATGAACAACAAATAAACACAGTCAAAAGTGAGGTTGTTCAAAAGAGTTAAGACTGATGGACAAAAGTGACAAGGAAAGCAAAATTACAGACAGCATGATACTGCTTTGAGCAGGGCTCAGCTTTCCACCTTCATGAATCTGAGTTTGAATTAAAAAATATAAAAACGATCTTCCCTATGTGCAGAGACAAATTCTCTATTCCTGATTGATAACAGTCACTGATTTCAAATTTCCCTTCCAACAAATCAAAAACTACATTGTTTCCAAGGAGGGGAGGGGGGGGGGTTATCTTAGCATCGTTGTTTGAAGGTAACACATCTACAAAAACTCTCGTCCCTACCATTATCCATACCACAATATCAAGGCAGTAGAAATCAGTAAAAAAAAAATATATGTACTGGCTCGTGCAATACATTGTGTCAGGAAAGAGGAACTAGTCAAGCTCCAATATCATGGATACGTTGAAGCCTGAGAGCTACAAAATCAAATTCTATCTAAGGCCCAAACTTATTTCGAAAACAAAGTCGAAGAGCTCGCGGGAAGCCCACAAGTGTTACACATAATTCGGCGATTTTTACTCACCCAGGGCGGCACCCACTCCAACCTCAGCGATCAGGTTATGTCCACAAGCATGTCCTATACCGGGTAATGCATCATACTCACAAATAAAGCTTACAATTCGTCTGGTACAGCGACCACTGACTGCTCGGAATGCGGTATCCAGGGTATGATGGGGTGTCACCTCGAATCCTTTATCATTTAAGAATTTAGTTAACACTTCATGAGCATAATTTTCTTGGTAACAAAGTTCTGGCTTTTTCCAAATCTTTTGGTTCAGTTCATAAAGTTCAGACGCCAAGTTGTCTATTGTACGAAGGGCCACATCTTTTAAATTCCTCAAAGCCGCCACCGCCGCCATATTTTGACCTCGTTTTCATGATTCAAAAGACTCACACGAGGGAAGAAAGGGAAAGGAGGTCAAAGTCAAACTTTGGGTGAGTTATTCCAAATTAACGGTTTAGTCTACTGGTTGCCATCTACGAACCAGCATCACACCCAAGTTTCCCAGCAATAAATTCAGGGCATTACATCGGATGCATCTTGGAATTTCTCTTGCAAAATCTAATTTACATGACTTTATGATTTTCAAATGTTTTCCTTCTTTAATTTAATTACATAGTCAAAATACATTTCTCTTTCAAAGGGACCTGGCCAGGGGGATTTTTCCTTACTAAGCAGATAGATATAGAGCAAGATGGTATGATTTTTACCCCCTGCTGGTCTGAAGTCATGTTTTAACATGAACAATCAGGGTATAAAATAATGAAAGATTTAGTTCTCTATTGTGACTAGTTTGCCATTGATATAAATATTTTTCTTGTAGAAATTTGACTCTGATCTCAAACAGCTTAAGGTAAATCAATTTATTACATCAATTCATTACAAGTAGGGAAACAGACCCTAACCCAGTCCCTCTTCCTCCCTTGTGTGTGTATTTCAGCTGTATCAGACAAAGACTGAAAACATTTTTAAAAAGGAGCAATACTGTGAATGCAATTTGAGTTCTCTCAGGAACCTCTGAATAATTTTGTACAATTGAATTCTGTGTATCACACGAGACATTTTTCAATCAATGCATCTCTTGCAACAAATGGCTCAAACATGAAATTTTAATTACCATTCAGTGAGAATAATTGTAAGGTTGAAGCTCCTTCTTGCACAAACTTAGAAACACAAAGTTTTAAACCTAGTTCATTTGATTTTTGTGGCTACACTTATCATGGAGACACTTGATTTTCAATAAAAGTTTGCACAGAAAAAACAGAGCAAGAGTAAATTCCACACAACACAATACATCCAATGGCCTGGAGGCATTCTCCGAGTCTTCACTAGCGACCACATCAAAGACCTAACATAACATGCAAAGCTGTTGTTTAACAAAACAATTTGCACTCACATTTATACAGTAAACGAAAATTACATGATTGATGGCCTCAAGATGGAAAGAACACCACTGTTCTTTATTGCTTTTGCCACTGAGAATTAATAAAGCCATCTCTACATGCCCCCCATGCAATATCTCAAAGGAAGTCTCTTAATACCCAATAAAAAAATTCACAACAAAAAAGGTTTGATGCCTTTTAATCACACCATTCTCCCTTTAATAAGTGTGCACTGACAACAATTATTAAACCGAGGTTGTTTTAAATCAGCATGTAATCGGCACAAGTATTCAAATTTATGTTTATACCACAAGCTCTACATCGAAGTAAAACAGAAATATTATTTCCACTGCCTCCTCGTGATGCCGATAGTAAAAACCTTTCCTGGTGTGAAAAGTTTGTGAGTACTTGCTGATTCAAAAATTACACTGTTACAGTAAATTTGCTGTAATAAACAATCATTTTATGTACACTGGATGCACTACTGTAGAATAGTTTTGTTGAAAAGGAAGAATGGTGTGAAACAGAGGATGACTAACACTTAACAGTTACCTCTGCTTAAAATGACATATCATACATGTATATAATTTAATTAATAAATGTTCTGGGGTTCATAAAGACCTCTTGAAATGTAATACTGGCTATGAACAATTTGAAACCATCATTGGTGATCAAAGAAAATGTCTGGAGGCATTGTTGTAATATATGGCACAAAATGCTTCCCTCAAACACATGGCCTGTAGTTGATGGGATCTGTACTATACATTAAGCTAATAAGAAAACAAAACTGACACTAGAAGTTAAGGTATTGGTTGAATGAATGAACAACTTCACAACGCGGTGTCCACTATGACGAGTTTCAAGAAAATTATGTCAAAAAGGAATTGAAACTGCTTTAACTCTAGAATGCCCAAATAGCTCATAGGGACAAGTTTAAAATGCCTCTGGACAAAGTGGTTCCTTGGAAGAGTTCTATTTATTGATGTGCGCACTGCACACGAGGTCCATGGCCTGCTTCATCATCACTTCCATCCTCATAGGCTTCCTTCCTCTTTTGACTGTATCTTGGATCAAGTTCCATGAGGTCGACTTCCTCAGCATCCTCAACTGGTGATGGTTGCTTGGGCCGACTGGGAAGTAATGATTCTAGTAACTGGAATGAGAAAAAAAAGGAACAATACCTTATGTTTCATTGCATAGTTGCCCAAAAGACAACTGAACAGTGATTTTAGTACAATGCTCCAGAACTGTTATCTTGTACAAGGTAAAGAGGAAGTGCATTAACCCATTAACGGCTGCAGCTTTTGTGAAAAACTGTGTTTTGAAGCTAGTCGAGCAGATTTTGGGTCACTGTTGTGGTTTTAAAAGCTCAAACTTACCAAAAACCCATTGACAGCTCATACACTCGACGGCCTTTCTAGCCAAATGCAAAATGGCAGCCAGAAAATCTCGGGCACACACAGAAAGCAAAATTTCTCTTTCTCCAGCCCTTTTTTTCCCCTCTCCTCCCTTGGTGGAAATTTAGTAGGCTTCATTTTGGTGTAGAGATTTTGTAGGAAACTACTCCTTATTTTCAAACCACATGCTCAGAAAGGTAGGTGGGTAATGGAACAAGATTTTTGTGCAGATTTTCAGGTCAAAGTTACATGGTTTTTTGGCTATTTCTCCAATCTCCTTCACTCAATTCCACTCATTCTGGTATCATTTGTAAGATATTTTCAACCTGTTCAAGTACGTGCTCAAAGTCGTGCTCTAGGGTTAAAAGTGATGATGTCACAAGGCGTAGAAAGGGTGTGGGTCCACATGGGCGCATACGGGCGCACTGGACGTCAATAGGTTAAAAAACAATTCTCCAGGATAAAGTTGATTACATGCAACTAAGCTTGTGACTTAAATTTAAAAAGTTAAGCTGAAGTTGACATTGGGAGAGAAAAAAATAAAATAACACACTCAACCATCACTTGCCTCGAATTGTTACATGTATGAACTCAAAACAATTATTTCAACTATTTGTTTATGTTGAAGAGCTTATTATAAATAGCTTATTTCATTTAAATAAATGTTGCCATTTGATAAAAATCACACCATAAAAATGTACAGATAGTTCCTTCTACAAATATTGCTTTTTCACTGAGAGAGCAATTTTTACCTAACAGTAGATTTGAGTTTCCACTGACTAATGGAGGCCACTGAAAAGTCTTGGAGAACTTTTCTAAGTGATACCTGCTAATGCAGTGCACTAAAAACCCTGCAATACCACTGATTGTTACATTTCTACATTATGATTTTTTTGGAAATTAAGGATGCCAATACCAAATAGAACTAGATCTAGAATGGTAAAAAATCTTGAAAAATAATGTTGATCACAAAAAAAAGGTACTCACAGAAATTTTGTCACCCGGGATGAAATTGTTTGGAGGAAATTCAATTTCAAATTTAACATAAAGATTTCCCTTGTCATAGGGTCTTCTGTAAGCTGGCATGCCCTCTCCAATAACACCTCTTATGCAACCTGGCCATAGAAAAATACAAAAAAATAGTTATAATATTACCAAAAAGGAAAGATTCAAGATGAATCAACAATATTTGTACATTGATGTACTAAATTATCATTGTCTAAAAAGAAACATAGCTGATACAATCACCATTCAAACGCATCAATGACAATTGATAAATGGAAAGACAGAGACAAATGGTTGGAAATGCTATTTCAAAAACTAACCTGGTTCAATAACCTGTCCAGCAGGGTATTTTACAACTAAATTTCTTTTATCCAGATGCTTGATCACCATATGGAAGCCACACAGAGCTTCTGCCAGATGAATTTTCTTTGTCATAAACAAATCATCACCCTGACGTGTAAACAATTCATGATCTTTCTGTTGTAGCACCAGAATAACATCACCAGGTTCAACACCAGGCTGTATGAAAGAGAAAACCTTTGAATAAGCACAAATCCTTACCAACACCAAGTGGCAGACACAAAATCCCTTCACGTGTTCTTTTATTTTTTTTTTCCTAACCATTTTCACAGCATTACTGCAGTAGGGTAGGACTATAACGGAACATATGCGAACCATGCCAGTAGTCCACCTAATAAATCTCACCCATCCCACCCCAGGGGAGGACATCCATCACACAGTAATCTCGTGCGTGGGAAATTAACATTTCCTACCCCCTAACCCTGTAGGAGACGGGACCTCCATTTATTCGTCCCTATCCGAGAAGACTAGAATATCTAACCATTTCTTGATGCTATAGCAAGGTAGCATATTCTTCTCAATTATTTTAAGACCTTCAGTGTTGGTCCGGCCGGGGCTTGAACCCTCGACCTCCCACACAACAGTCCAGCGCTCTATCCATTGAGCTAACCAGGAGGCAGTTTTAATGCTGCACGCAAGAGGATGAGATATCAAAGCCATGATAAAAATAAGTAGCATTGCCCAAAATAAGAAAATAATGTACAGATGCAACTTGTCAGGTCTTAACCACAAATGAAACATTTAGCTTCAACTCTTGATTCAGTTTGAGAACCTTCAAAAACTGCACACTTATTTGAATGTTCTTTTGAGCATTTGTACAGAAAAAATAACAAATAGTAAAAAGACTAGATTTGCTTTATTGGTAAACATCAATCCAGTTATCAGCCTTATTGCTCACCTCCTGGTCTCCCTCTCCTCTAAATGTTATTTTTTGACTGTCATTCATACCCTTGTCTACATGAACCTGCAAAGAGCCAAGACAAATTTTGAGATACAAGGCTCACTTTTATATCTAATCTTTTCTTATGGTATGTGGTGAACCATAATTCAGTACTTTACCTCTAATATCTTGCTTTCTTTGATAACTTTTTTCCCCTGGCATTTTTTACACCTGTCCTTAGGATTGAGTACTTCACCTGAAAGCAAGCATATGTGATTGAGGAATGAGTTAAAATTGATCAAATAATTCACATCTGAACTAGCATTCCATCTTG